AAAAAAAAATGGTTTTTGCTCGTAACTCGGAAATGGCTGGAAATATAAACAAATTTCCCCTTGGTTCTGAGTAGAGCACTCGGTGGGTGACGCAGAGCGGGGTGTCACAATATATGAAAGAAAAATAAACAGTATTTGCTTAGACTCTTAAGTATCAAAAAATCTCCCATGGTGAACAAATAAATCTCCCATGGTGAACGAGTGAAAAACGTCAAAACCTGCATGTCAAAAAAAAATCGGGACCAACGGTATGTGACGTCATAGGATAAAAAAGTGTTTATAACTCAGAAACGGTGCGTTGAATCGAAAAAATAATTGAAAAATGTCAACCCCTCCCTCCCGGGTTCTGTATGTTCCTTCTGCGTTGAATGCAGAACGAAGTCCGAAGTCCGTATGTCGAAAATAAATTCTGGAAACAAGAGGTATGTCGTGTTATAGTAAAAATGCCGTATAACTCGGAAACAGTGCGTTAAATCGAAAAAATAATTGAAAAAATCTTCCCACATCCCTGGTTCTGTATGACAGTTCTGCGTTGAATGGAAAAGGTCCGAAGTCCGTATGTGGAAAATAAATTTCGGAAAGAAGAGGTGTGTGAGGTGATACAGTAAAAAAGGTCTTATAATTCGGAAATGGTGCGTTGCTGAAAGCATTAAATTTATTTAGCAGTTATTATTTGGCAACAAAGCCACCGCTGGAACTGCCGCCTATTACCAAGTAGAAGAGTTACCACGCTAAATTTTATAGCTGGAAGCCGGCTAAGGAGACCCTGCTTCCATTTTGGGTTGCCAATTTCCAGCATTTAAGTAGCAGTCTGTAGCGATACGCTATATTGTCTGTGGTATAATAGAGAAATATGAAATTTTAAAACTACAATTTGCAAGTATATCTATTATTGAATTAAATGTGCTATATTTCTATACGAAGCAGATATGAGTGATGCAAACGAATGTCTTTTATCATAAAAATTCATATCGACTGTACATTTTACCAAAGTATATTATATATGATTATAACCTTAGGTGAAGTTGAGCCAAGGAATAAAAAAAGAATTTCACTATAGTGACAAGGTTTTTGGCTTAATTTGATCAAATCATTCAAACTTGCTAAATATTCAGATATCTATATTTAAAAGGTTATAGCAATTATCTAAACATTAATTTGTACTAAAACTGTTGCCAATATAGTAGCTAAAGAGGTTGACAGACAGAAAGACAGAACGATATCCATTAGAATATAAACAAGTTATAAAAAGTTTTTCGTAACAGATAAGTATCTAAATACGGAATATTTGCCTGCGACTTGAAGTTTTTATTATACTGTTATTTGCTTTTATGGTTACGAGCCAATATTTGCACTTGCCTATAAAATTAGAATNTGGGAATTTAGAAATCAGTGAAAGGTTGGTTCAAATTAGAAAAAAGTTACATTGTTAGGGAACCATTAAAATGACTTTTTCTCTGTTTGTTTGGTATTTTGCTACCTATAAAAAAATTTCAAGACATAAACTTTGCCACAAAAGGACCAGTAAAGGATCATTTTTATTAAAATACTTTTGTTTGACCAAAAATCTCATGCTGAAAAAAAAGATACAAATAAAAAATCTGTATCTTGGACCATTAATGTTTCGAAAAATCAATAATGTTTCATTATCAAACCTTTAATTTTTTTAATTTTTACAGGTAGCAAAACACCCAATAAACAGAGGAAAAACTAAAATTATGTTACAAATAAATAACCTCATATGATACAAGAACACAGATTTCAGATATAATGTATACAAGCTGTTACAAATTCCCTTCTCACTATAGGGATCTCGAAAACGATAAGAGATACGAGCTAGCTTAAATGGCAGAAAAGTTGCATAATCAGGGGACCAACATTATGCCTCTAAAAAATCAAGGCTAACATGATTAGTTTTTGAAATATTTCAATAAACATAGAAATCTAAATAAAAAATTTAGATTTTGGAACAAATAAACAAGATGAATTTTTCGAGACAAAACGTCTAAATCTGGTTCGGGTTGAGGCAGTACAGTATTGGGGGTCATGAAGGCTTGCAAAATATGTAATAAAATTTCCAGGGTTGTATTTAAAAAAATGAAGTTGATGATCCTGGAAAGACGAAACATTACATATAAAAATTGATTATGCCATTCGATAGAGGGCAAAAAGTGGCCAGAAAGTGTTCCTCTTTTTTCAATATTACCTCAAACAAGGCAATGAAACAAAAACAGATTTCCAAAATTTTGTTTTTTTTTCAAATATTTCGAAAACTTGAAACTTGGAAAAAATCAAGTGTAGATTTTTTTTAGAGGCATAATGTTGATCCCCTGATTATGTAACTTTGCCCCCATTTAAGCTAGTTTGTATCTCTTAACGTTTTCGAGATCCCTGCGAATTTGTAACAGCCTGTATATTTGAAATTTTATTTTGAAAAAGAACAAATTCCTCAATTTAATATTTTATTTTTTGCTGTTTGAGCAAGATTTCTTCATGGCAATTTTTATGTACTTTCTCATGGAAATTACAGGATTGATCAAAAAACCATTTTTTAATTATACAGGATATTTTGTAATAAATGATCGTAAATTCAGAAAGTAGTTAATAGAAAATTAAGGCCACTTTTTCTATAAATGTGGTATGTTTTTTGGACCATTTATCTGATGATTGGAGATTATAGTTTTCCAAGTATCCATATTTATGCCACTGTTTAATTATGAATGTTGATATTATTACAGCAACACTTCACCTATGCTTTTTTGTATCAAGTTTAGTTGTGACACTTTTAGCCATTCAGAAATTAAAAAAATTATATATAAATTTGGAACTCCCTGTATCTTCGAAATGAGTCATAAGAAACCATGTTTGTAGGAAAAAGTGGCCTTAATTTTTCAAAACTTATCACCACAATTTATGGGCAACCAAGGAAACATCCTATAGATTTTATAAGTATTTTTAATTTTGCTTTCAGTGCTTTGCTTATGTTAATTTACTTACATATTTGATACATTTCAGAAGCTTTTTGAAATAATTTTTAAGTACTTATGATTCATTATTAAAAAATAGAGGTAATTTTTAAAGCCAAGGAGAGGTTAAAACTTAAATTTCATATTTTTATTAAAATTTAATTCATAAAAAAAAATTAAGTATGTACTTATAATAAATTAAATAAAAACACTTACAATACTAGAATCGTAAAAATGATTCAGATACCATGAGCTTTATTAGCCTTAGAAAGTTTAATTCTTCTCTATTTCTAAATTAAACTCCTTAATTGTAATTTTTTTATTTTTTTTTTAATTACTGATGATGGCTGATTTTTATTCAAAACATAATTAAATCTCTACAAGTAACACATACATACAAATACTTCAAAAACATTTATTTTAGAAATCTAACGGCCTAAAATTGAAGGTGAGTCAAATACAATCATCAAAACTGACAGTTCCGTGAAAATGTATAAATTCAGTTTTTTCAAAATAGTTTAAAAATCAAAAATATATCAGATCTGTTCATATTTCAATGGCGATGCTATAATGATGCAACTTTTTTCTAATTTAATCCAACCTGTATCTTTCACCGATTTCAATATCCTCATGTCCTTATTTTGGATAAAAATGCTCTTATATTTACTGATAATATATAAATTATCTACTCACCAGCGTTTATTGTGGCAGCAGAACTAGAAGGCATTGTCATTTGAAATCCGCTCCGAGAATTGGTTTCCCTAAACAAAACAGACTTTGATGAAACCGTAATTTTTTTGTTTCTTACAGCCCAACCACGAGATCTTAAAGGAACTTTTACTTTAACCATGGGATGGAACTGCCCCGGATACATTTGTGCCATCAATATGTCTTCTTCTGATGGTAATAGAGAAGGGATTAACAGTGTTCTGGAGTCCCACGTTAAAGCCACCTCGAACTTATTTAGGAGATTTACGATATATCCTCTCGAATCCATGGGTCCTATATTACTTGCTTTAAAAATGTGTTTCAAGTCATCTAATTTCATAACACCTGTTCTAGCAAACGGATTTATTTCCCTAATCGTTACTACATGAGCTAACATATCGCATAACCATTGCGGGTCTAGGAAATAAAGGTCTTTAAGTGTGGCATCGTCGTAATGTAACAAAACACCTATAAAATTGTTAATAAATCTATTAATATCGATTAAAAATTAGTGAACTCAGTTTGTTACCGTTATCATGCAAAAATAATGTTGCTTGATGCAGTTCTGACCAGTCTCTAAACGTTTTATTGTATCTCTGTTGCATTTCAGATGTTACCAAATTCCTGTACTGCTCTGCGTTTAATACTGGATCAAGACCGTTTAACCTTCTCTCTGTAGCTATATAATTAACGACGTCTTCTAACGCTAAATACGTGGCAGGAACCTTCTGTTCCAGCAGCAGTTCTTTGCTACCCGGAGGTCGTAAACTAAACACCGTGTCATATATTAAATTACAAAGGAGTTTAACGTTGTGCCTAGTTTTACAACTGATTTCAATTGTGTCTAAAACTCGAGGTAAGCCACACTTCTCTGCATCAACGATGTTTATAAAACGTTCCCTAATAATTTGTTGGTACTCTTCGGAAATATTTGGATTAAATTCTTGTACTACGTCATAATGCGTTCCGACGATAATAACGGGAGAGTTTGGCGCTCGGGCTTGTATGTTCACTAACCACTGCAATATTTCGTTAATGCCCCTGTAACCGTCTGTTATTCGCCATACTACTAAATACAGACTACGTTTGGATAAGAAATACTGATGTGTTGCGTAATACCTGGAAATATTTAGTTTAATCACCTTATTAATTAGAGAGGTTGAGATAAATATCTTACTCTTTTTGTCCACCAAAATCCCATGTTCTAAATATGACCGGACCGTGTGAGGAATGAGAACGTACTTTTTTTTCATAAACCCAGTCACCAATGTCCACTCCAACTGTGGACATGTTTGTCCCTCTGGAAGTTTTTACATTTATATTTTTATTACCCATTCTCTTTGCCCAGTGCTAAAAAAATGATAATTATTGCATTTTTTTGTAACAGTTTATTTGTTTCTTTTAATGTTCATGTTAGACTGACACTTAATACGGTCGTTGCTTTGTAGACTCATTGGGAGTCTGTTATTATATTATCTTAGGTGTTTTGTTATGAGTGCTGCCATTTGTTAGTATAAGAGAAGAATGTACAGTTGAATGTAATGGCAATGATAATAAAGTCATGTGTAGAACATTTTGCAGTGTTTTTCTATTAAATAGTACTAAAATTCAAGAAGTGAAACAAGAAATCCTACACAGTTTCTTTTCTAAGTTTATGACATCTATCAACCAATGGCAGCAATAATAGGAGACAATCATTGAAAATTCAAGAATTTCTATGCCACTAGATATTTTATAGATGAAATAAGTACATTTAATAATACATCGGGTGTCCTAAAAATAGTTGACAGACACAGGGGTAGAAAGAGGGTGGAATTCTGAGATGAAGTCCTTTGACATTTTTTTGTCTAATGTACCCGTAATTAGTTAGGAATGAAATGAGGGATATGCTTTAAGGGAATGCCGACTGGTAGGAGTCAGTAAAGAGGCGAGCGTGGTATTGTGGCACCACCACAGAAAACGTTAAGGCCGTTGAAATATTTCAGTTGTCGGTTCTAACTTAGGCCATTTAATATGAGTGTTCCGTCTAATAAAGAATAAATATTAATGTGATTAAATATATACATTCCAATAAATACTGTTATAGTGATAAATATACAGAGCAAATAAATATAAGTGACTATGATAAATACAGGTTGTTACAAATTCACTTCTCACTACAGAAATTTTGGAAACGGTAAAAGATACGAACTATTTAGATAAATTTGAAACAAATACATTGAAGATGCATTTTCCGAAACAAAACATATTTAAAAAAATGACGATGATGGTCCTGGAGAGACAAAACGTTATAAAAATTGATTATGCCATTCGATAGAGGGCAAAAAGTGGCCATGAGAAAGTGTTCTTCTTTTTTCAATATCACCTCAAACAAGGCTGAAATTAAACAAAAACAGATTTCCAAAATTTCGTTTTTTTTTCAAATATTTCGAAAATTAATCATGTTAGCCTTGATTTTTTAAAGGCATAATGTTGCTCCCCTGATTTTTCAACTTTGCTCCCATTTAACCCTTTCGCTGCGCAATACGTCTGAACGTAGCTACCGCGCCGTACGCGAAAGTTTATCGCATGCGAATATATACGTCTGGAGCAGTTAGACCACTTATAGTTTTACATTATGTTGTGTTAAATTACGATTTACGAAAAACTTTACGATTTTATTTTAAATAAAATACAGTATATGTATTAAATAGAAACTGAAAGAAAGATGACCAATCTTGGTATTATTACCAGTACCTCTTTCCATAAAAATATTTGTCATAATGGGTATAAGCTCGCCCGCAAAAATTCGCCATACCAATTGCAATAATCGAGTCACTAATGCGCATGGTTGCGAATATATACGGTTTGAGCAGCCTGATCTAATTTAACTATTCAAGCGAATTAATCCGTCTGGAGCAGTTTGAGCCCTATAAATTTTTAGCGAATATATACGTCTGGAGCAGTGAAAGAGTTAATCTACTTCGTATCTCTTATCGTTTCCGAGATCCCTGTAGCGAGAAGAGAATTTGTAACAGCCTGTATACAGGGTGTTCCAGATAGACCTTCAATTAGACGTTTCTGGAAAACTACGCGTACTGGAATTCTGAAAATTTATGTACGGGGTTTCTCCTAATGTTCTATCGATTGAAAATATTGGCGTCGCCGTGAAACTTCCGGTTCTACCGGATGTAGACGTCAACTCGCTTATTTCAAATGGAATGTACTATTTTTTATTTAATTTTTGGATTCTACATCGAATTTTAAGGTAAGTTTCATAACCTTACTTTATCCTTAAACTCAATAGTTTTTGAAATATTTTGACTTTTTCAACATTTTTGAAAAAAACATACCTACACTTAATCGGTTCTATCTCCTTCAATTTTTAAGATAGGAAGCTGAAATTTTAGATGGTCAATACCAAAACGTGTCCAAATATCTGGAATATTCGAAAGTTGGTGCATGTTACACAGGGCGTCTAAAAAACACGGACCAATTGTGCCAAATTAAAAGTTTAATAACTCGCTTATTATAAATAGAACAGCCTGTGTTTTATAATGCCAGTAGATGCACCTGTTAATTCTCTTTCCATTGGTATAAGCATTCCCTATACCTAAATCCCACTGATTTTGAGATAACATTACTTATTTAGCACTATATCTAGTGATTTAATCTATTGGAAATTTTATGCTTTGGAAAGGTAGATCCTTCACTCATGTACTGTCAAAATTTCATGATATTTGGACGAACAGAACTGAAGTTATAGCATCTGAAGTGACCGTACGTTTCAGTTATCGGTACAGAAATGACCATCGAACAAAGTTTGGTAAAACTTTTACCAAAATGTTTCAATTGATGAACCAAGTTTATGGTCATGATTGTTTATCCCGTGGCAGAGTTCATGAGTGGTGTACATGGTTGAAAAACGGTTGTGAGGATAAAATTGATGAGCAACATGTTGGCCAACCAAAACTGTGATCACCGCAGATTCCATCAAAACTGTAATCAAAGATAAACCAAAATCTTAATTGAAACTCATGGATTTGGAATTAAGCATCTCAAAAACATCAACGTATCACATTTTGGCAGAACATTTGTGCTACCGAAAAGTGTGTGCTCGGTTTGTTCCGCGCAAGTTGACTGACGACCAAAAATTGCTCAGAATTTAACATTCGAAGAAGGCCAAAAAGGACAAAAACTTCCTTTACAACATTGTGACTGGTGATGAACATAGTGTTTTCAATATGATCCAGAAACCAAGTGCCAAAGTGCGAAGTGGAAGGCGCCAGATGAGCCAAAACCCAAAAAATCTCATTTGGAGAAGTCAAAAGTGAAGAAATCACAAAATTTGCGTTTACGATCTTGTCATTTTGAAGTATTTGGTGCATCGTATTCAGCCAGAATATCGCGTAGGAGGTTGGTGTTTGTTACACGATAATGCGCCATCTCGTAAACCATGAGATGAACCAATACAAAACATATAGGTAACTAACTAAATATGGCATCACAACCACTCAAGGTATTCACCTGATTTGGCACTGTGCGACTTTTACCTTGTCGGAAAAATATATTTGCCGATGAAAGGAAAGCGTTTTGTAGACGTAGAAGAAATCTAAAAGAGTTGTACCGACATCCTGAAGGATATCCCGGGTGATGATCTAAAACATTCGTTTGACATGCTTTTAGACTGCAAATTGCTGTATTGAGTTGGAAGAGGATTATTTTGAATAAAATAAATCGGTTTTGCCAAAAAAACTTTTTGTTCCTATTTTTAAAAAGTCGTTTATTTTTTATCGCCCCTTGTATAAATATTGCACCTGGTATTTAACCAAATTTTCGGAGAGTTTTGCCATTATTTTGGTCTCTGACTCCAAGGCTACAACTTTATCAATTCAGAGAATTTTTACCTTTAATTAGTCAAATAGTTCAAGTTTCATCAGTTTATTAATATATCTTCAGAGGTATTCCAATAAATTGTCAAAAATTTTTTATTTCAACACAATTCTGTCTTGAAATATAGTGGCTTTGAACCACCAATTCATTAAGACATTTTGGTTTAGTAATCCCAAAAAGATCAAGACAAAACTTGGACAATTAAAAAAGATAAGGAATCTTTTTTGAATTTTAGAAGCTTGATTTTTCAGTTTAAATTCCTATCAATGGTCTACTTAATGCAATCAAATTATTTCTATTAAAACTGAAAAGTACTGTAAATTGAAAAATCTACTATAAATACGGTGCGCACGTATATATGATAGATGCTAATTATTAAAGAGGGATGACATCCACTATATCGCTATTACTGAGTCAGCAAGAACCCCTTTCGGAATGCGCGAGCAGTCGAGGTCAGCCGATAGAGCGCGGTCCGCTGGGTCAGTGAGCACGAGAGTCAGTCACTGGAGTCGCCAGAGTCCCGACATAGCAAATAAACCGATTGTTGAAATTATGTGTTTTAATTGGCGTGAAAACCCCCATGGTTGCTAACATATATTAAAAATATTCTTGGGTACCAAAATTTAAAGTAAAATAAAAAATAACCTTAATAATTACGTAATTTGCTTAATTTCAGAATTTGTTGCTGACAAATAAACAAATCCATAACTTAAAATTATAAAGATAAATATATCCAAATAATTTGCTCCCACAATTTTTACTTTTCTTTGTTTGTAACATATGCTTGCAAGTTTGATAAATAAATAATATTGTTCATCCTGTACAAGTATGAAATTAATATCTGTTATTCGATATTTGACATGTCAACAATATAATTGCCTTCATAACGTGAATAATTTTTTAGTACTTTATAATGGTTAGCAATAGCTGTATGCAGATGTTATGTATTTATGATTAATTCTCAAGGTTTCCCTGTAGGTTGTTATGCAACAAAAAAGTAATACAAAACAGCTTTCATTAAACCAACCTCTGGCCTTCTCCTAGTTGTTCCTTCCTGCCTAAGTTGTTCTAATAAACTAGTTTTGCCGATGCCTTGTACCCCAACAATCATTAATTTCATCCTGGCATAAGGTTTGGCATCTTCCAAAACAGATTTTAAATACCCGATGATGTCCATGGTTTTGTATTTTTTACTATCAATCATAGACTTAAGTGGTTCTTGTAGTGTTGTACCTCTGGTGTTTAAATTCCACAAGCGAGACAGCAGGCCCATTTGTGGTGGGAGTTCGTTTATTTCTAAAAATAAACACATATAGATCTCGAATCTTATTTACTGAAATATTACGTGGGCTGTAATGACTTGCACAGTTAAAAAAGGAAACACATATTTTTAATTGATTCACTATAAAATTGATTTGGTAAAAAATATATTAAATTAGTAAAATTAATTATCTATAAATATATAGTGTCCCAAATAAAAAACATGAAAGAAGTTTAAATATTTTTGTATTAAATAATTTTTTGAAACTAAAATTTTCTCAAAATTGTAAATCTCGGGTCAGTTACAATTTTCTTGCCTAATTCCGAAAAATTGTATTAGCGACTTTTTTATTCGAAATCTAATAATATGGCGTTATTTTACACTATAATTTTTTTAATTTTATATAAAAATTTTAAAATGTAAGAGTTCCTGGTTTTAGTTATTCCAATTTTATTTTTATTAATTTTTCATGTCGAAAACTTTTTATTTATGTTAAAGGCTTAAACACCTATAAATTGGGACACGCTATATAATACATCAAATAACAAGACATTTGAATCACATTTTTAACACAATCATTACCTTCATTTTTGTTTTTCACTATCAAAATAATTATCATAAAAGAATAAGGATAGTTAAAATTTAAAGGTACATCTGAATGAGTAAATAGCAGCAAGAATATTTACCTATATTTCCACTGATATTTAACACTGACAAATTACTCAGTTCATTTATGTTTGATGGTATTTCCTTTAAATTATTATTGCTAATGTCCAACATGGATAAATTTGGGAACATTAGCCTTGCTTTTCCAGCTTGCGAATTCTGAAATAAAAATACAAATGTGAAACAATTAAATTATTTTTATATTTTTTATATCTGCTAATTGTATATTATGTATTAAATTTAATTCTTGAGAAAACTGTAATGATAAAACAGACAATTTTTTTTTACCAATTTTTAACATAATCTTCCCACATTAAAAAATTTTTGTAATAAATATTTCAGTAAAAAGTATATCTTTAACCTGATGTTTATTGTTTCCGCAATCTAAGAAAGCATTTTTTATCTTGAAGAATAATGTGAAAAATAGGGAAGAAATAGAAACCGAAAATTTGTGCTATAAAGAGGGTGGCATATTATTATTCAGTTGGTCGCATTTACTTTTCCCTTTCTCCTTTTAGAAAAAAATTTTATACGAGATAATAGAAATTATATTAATATTTACCCTATCTAACTCTTCATCTTCGGTACTGCTAACATCGCCATCGTCATCTGTAGCTAATTGAATTCTCGTCAGTCGATTGTCAGCAAGTATAAGGGTTCGTAAGTTATCTAGTCTTAAGTGCCTCCTGTGTGAACATACATAATGTAGCACAGTATTTCGAACTGATCTGCCCGACTTCCTTCGAACTAAGAAAGAAATTATAATGAATAGGAATGTATACCAAAATATGTAATTTTTTCTATTCTGTAGATACTATTTTATAAAAAATGTAATATTTTGTAGTAAAGATTTGTATCAATCAATTGTGTACACAAACATATTTGACAAAGATTTTATATGAATTTATTAAGTCATTAGCACCTATAATGTAAAGCCTCCTATACTAAGCCTCATCGCTTAGTGAAGCCACTACAGGTGGTTTAATCAGTGTTTAATCGTAAATAACAGAAGCGTGCACATTATTGTTATCTTAGTTTAATAGTTTCCACAATTATGACAAGGTCATTTTTATTGTAAAATGTAATTTTAAGTTATTACATAAATGGATCTTATTCAAACATGCAGGCGCTGGGTTAAGCGTTAAGTTAAACAGTGAAATTACGCACAATGCCAAGATTATTGGCTGACTGAGCAGTTGCCTTTTTTTGTAGCCAAATTTTTATTCATTAAATGAGGCGTTGACAATTGTTGGAGTTATTACTAAATGGATTCAGATTAGTTCAGAGAGGACTTCGTATCCTCACTTCTCAGATACTGTCTCGTGCCTTTGCTTGTAAATTTCCAGCAGATCGTTCAGATAGCACTGACCTAGCGACTTTGGTTCAGCACTTGCATGGCTGAATATGCCCTTTGTCAAGTGTGATAAAAGTTTATAATAATATTTCACACTATTTCGGTAATAATCAAGTTGTAAATTTGAAGTAGGTATTGAGATTCTTGGATGTAGTAAAACTGCTTTCCAAACAACAAAGCTTTGTGTTAACTGAAATGATATTGCACATTTAAATATCATTTTTTTTTCTTTTTTGACTTACCGTGCAGTTATTAGGAGCTCTTGAAGTCGAGTGTTAAAAATAGATTTATCGTCACAACTTTTCTCATTAAATTCGGAAAATTTTTTGGTAAAAGTCATTATATTTTCAATAATTAACATTGAGACCTAATAGCTCTTCAGGGTGAGGTCAGAGAAAAAAATTGTATACAGGGTGTTTGTAAATAAGTGCAAAATATTTTAGGGGGCGGTCGCCAAAGATAGTTGAAAAAAAAGTTCATATAAAGGTAGGTCGAAATATGCTTCGTTTGCGAGATACAGTGTTTAAATTTTAATTTTTTATTTATTTTTATTAATTATTTCAGTTTTAAAGATATTGCCTCAAAATTTGAAAAATGTTTTGGAGGGACAAGCGTACATTTTTTGGGGTGATCCGAATATTTCTACTTGCACCAGTGGCGTCCGTCCGAGAATGCCACAACCTTTTTTAACAAAAAAAATGATATGCCAGATTTTTTCCCGTTTTAAATTTTTTTTTAAATCCGCCATCAGTTCTGAGTGAAATTGGTCCCTTCAATTTTTTTCATAAGATGCACCATTTTTGAGAAAAAAAATAAAACATTTTATTGTAGGTTTTGTTACTATTTTATTTAAAGGTGCAAGTAGAAATATTCGGATCACTCCAAAAAATGCACATTTATCCCTCCAAAGCGTTTTTCAAATTTCGAGTCAATACTTATTTCACACTTATTTACAAACACTCTGTATAAACTTGAATCGGAATTTTTTCTATCTACCCAAATCTGTAAAATTGTCCACGATTTCCTGGACACCTTGAATGAAACAATTTATGGTACAATTTTCTATATATTGTAATTGTGAGAGTTGGACTTTTTAACATTTACAAACATAAAATCTAAAATAAGTGAAAGGCTTGGAAGCATTAACGAAGAAAAAGGTGTAGGATTACTGATATATATTAGACCTGACATTGCTCAAATCTGGAAAAGCCGACAAGCTCAGGTGTCACATTAACTTGATTTTAAACATTCAATTTATTTTTATGAAAGAGTTACTTATTTTAAGAATTATATTAATTAAATGTTTACAAATACAGTGTAGCCCATCGAAAACGTACCGCAAGGCATTACAGGGTAGTGAAGAATTTTTCGGCAAAATCCAAAAACAGGTCAAATTTGTTTCTGAGGGGGACAACTTTTGGCTAAAAAAGCATACCAAAATCTTCAACCCCCTAAGNGTTATCGGTACAGAAATGACCATCGAACAAAGTTTGGTAAAACTTTTACCAAAATGTTTCAATTGATGAACCAAGTTTATGGTCATGATTGTTTATCCCGTGGCAGAGTTCATGAGTGGTGTACATGGTTGAAAAACGGTTGTGAGGATAAAATTGATGAGCAACATGTTGGCCAACCAAAACTGTGATCACCGCAGATTCCATCAAAACTGTAATCAAAGATCAACCAAAATCTTAATTGAAACTCATGGATTTGGAATTAAGCATCTCAAAAACATCAACGTATCACATTTTGGCAGAACATTTGTGCTACCGAAAAGTGTGTGCTCGGTTTGTTCCGCGCAAGTTGACTGACGACCAAAAATTGCTCAGAATTTAACATTCGAAGAAGGCCAAAAAGGACAAAAACTTCCTTTACAACATTGTGACTGGTGATGAACATAGTGTTTTCAATATGATCCAGAAACCAAGTGCCAAAGTGCGAAGTGGAAGGCGCCAGATGAGCCAAAACCCAAAAAATCTCATTTGGAGAAGTCAAAAGTGAAGAAATCACAAAATTTGCGTTTACGATCTTGTCATTTTGAAGTATTTGGTGCATCGTATTCAGCCAGAATATCGCGCAGGAGGTTGGTGTTTGTTACACGATAATGCGCCATCTCATCGATTGACACTTTGACCAATTTTTTTACTAAAAATCGCCTTTAACTGTAAACCAAGAGATGAACCAATACAAAACATATAGGTAACTAACTAAATATGGCATCACAACCACTCAAGGTATTCACCTGATTTGGCACTGTGCGACTTTTACCTTGTCGGAAAAATGTATTTGCCGATGAAAGGAAAGCGTTTTGTAGACGTAGAAGAAATCTAAAAGAGTTGTATCGACATCCTGAAGGATATCCCGGGTGATGATCTAAAACATTCGTTTGAAAACCCCCATGGTTGCTAACATATATTAAAAATATTCTTGGGTACCAAAATTTAAAGTAAAATAAAAAATAACCTTAATAATTACGTAATTTGCTTAATTTCAGAATTTGTTGCTGACAAATAAACAAATCCATAACTTAAAATTATAAAGATAAATATATCCAAATAATTTGCTCCCACAATTTTTACTTTTCTTTGTTTGTAACATATGCTTGCAAGTTTGATAAATAAATAATATTGTTCATCCTGTACAAGTATGAAATTAATATCTGTTATTCGATATTTGACATGTCAACAATATAATTACCTTCATAACGTGAATAATTTTTTAGTACTTTATAATGGTTAGCAATAGCTGTATGCAGATGTTATGTATTTATGATTAATTCTCAAGGTTTCCCTGTAGGTTGTTATGCAACAAAAAAGTAATACAAAACAGCTTTCATTAAACCAACCTCTGGCCTTCTCCTAGTTGTTCCTTCCTGCCTAAGTTGTTCTAATAAACTAGTTTTGCCGATGCCTTGTACCCCAACAATCATTAATTTCATCCTGGCATAAGGTTTGGCATCTTCCAAAACAGATTTTAAATACCCGATGATGTCCATGGTTTTGTATTTTTTACTATCAATCATAGACTTAAGTGGTTCTTGTAGTGTTGTACCTCTGGTGTTTAAATTCCACAAGCGAGACAGCAGGCCCATTTGTGGTGGGAGTTCGTTTATTTCTAAAAATAAACACATATAGATCTCGAATCTTATTTACTGAAATAATACGTGGGCTGTAATGACTTGCACAGTTAAAAAAGGAAACACATATTTTTAATTGATTCACTATAAAATTGATTTGGTAAAAAATATATTAAATTAGTAAAATTAATTATCTATAAATATATAGTGTCCCAAATAAAAAACATGAAAGAAGTTTAAATATTTTTGTATTAAATAATTTTTTGAAACTAAAATTTTCTCAAAATTGTAAATCTCGGGTCAGTTACAATTTTCTTGCCTAATTCCGAAAAATTGTATTAGCGACTTTTTTATTCGAAATCTAATAATATGGCGTTATTTTACACTATAATTTTTTTAATTTTATATAAAAATTTTAAAATGTAAGAGTTCCTGGTTTTAGTTATTCCAATTTTATTTTTATTAATTTTTCATGTCGAAAACTTTTTATTTATGTTAAAGGCTTAAACACCTATAAATTGGGACACGCTATATAATACATCAAATAACAAGACATTTGAATCACATTTTTAACACAATCATTACCTTCATTTTTGTTTTTCACTATCAAAATAATTATCATAAAAGAATAAGGATAGTTAAAATTTAAAGGTACATCTGAATGAGTAAATAGCAGCAAGAATATTTACCTATATTTCCACTGATATTTAACACTGACAAATTACTCAGTTCATTTATGTTTGATGGTATTTCCTTTAAATTATTATTGCTAATGTCCAACATGGATAAATTTGGGAACATTAGCCTTGCTTTTCCAGCTTGCGAATTCTGAAATAAAAATACAAATGTGAAACAATTAAATTATTTTTATATTTTTTATATCTGCTAATTGTATATTATGTATTAAATTTAATTCTTGAGAAAACTGTAATGATAAAACAGACAATTTTTTTTTACCAATTTTTAACATAATCTTCCCACATTAAAAAATTTTTGTAATAAATATTTCAGTAAAAAGTATATCTTTAACCTGATGTTTATTGTTTCCGCAATCTAAGAAAGCATTTTTTATCTTGAAGAATAATGTGAAAAATAGGGAAGAAATAGAAACCGAAAATTTGTGCTATAAAGAGGGTGGCATATTATTATTCAGTTGGTCGCATTTACTTTTCCCTTTCTCCTTTTAGAAAAAAATTTTATACGAGATAATAGAAATTATATTAATATTTACCCTATCTAACTCTTCATCTTCGGTACTGCTAACATCGCCATCGTCATCTGTAGCTAATTGAATTCTCGTCAGTCGATTGTCAGCAAGTATAAGGGTTCGTAAGTTATCTAGTCTTAAGTGCCTCCTGTGTGAACATACATAATGTAGCACAGTATTTCGAACTGATCTGCCCGACTTCCTTCGAACTAAGAAAGAAATTATAATGAATAGGAATGTATACCAAAATATGTAATTTTTTCTATTCTGTAGATACTATTTTATAAAAAATGTAATATTTTGTAGTAAAGACTTGTATCAATCAATTGTGTACACAAACATATTTGACAAAGATTTTATATGAATTTATTAAGTCATTAGCACCTATAATGTAAAGCCTCCTATACTAAGCCTCATCGCTTAGTGAAGCCACTACAGGTGGTTTAATCAGTGTTTAATCGTAAATAACAGAAGCGTGCACATTATTGTTATCTTAGTTTAATAGTTTCCACAATTATGACAAGGTCATTTTTATTGTAAAATGTAATTTTAAGTTATTACATACATGGCTCTTATTCAAACATGCAGGCGCTGGGTTAAGCGTTAAGTTAAACAGTGAAATTACGCACAATGCCAAGATTATTGGCTGACTGAGCAGTTGCCTTTTTTTGTAGCCAAATTTTTATTCATTAAATGAGGCGTTGACAATTGTTGGAGTTATTACTAAATGGATTCAGATTAGTTCAGAGAGGACTTCGTATCCTCACTTCTCAGATACTGTCTCGTGCCTTTGCTTGTAAATTTCCAGCAGATCGTTCAGATAGCACTGACCTAGCGACTTTGGTTCAGCACTTGCATGGCTGAATATGCCCTTTGTCAAGTGTGATAAAAGTTTATAATAATATTTCACACTATTTCGGTAATAATCAAGTTGTAAATTTGAAGTAGGTATTGAGATTCTTGGATGTAGTAAAACTGCTTTCCAAACAACAAAGCTTTGTGTTAACTGAAATGATATTGCACATTTAAATATCATTTTTTTTTCTTTCTTGACTTACCGTGCAGTTATTAGGAGCTCTTGAAGTCGAGTGTTAAAAATAGATTTATCGTCACAACTTTTCTCATTAAATTCGGAAAATTTTTTGGTAAAAGTCATTATATTTTCAATAATTAACATTGAGACCTAATAGCTCTTCAGGGTGAGGTCAGAGAAAAAAATTGTATACAGGGTGTTTGTAAATAAGTGCAAAATATTTTAGGGGGCGGTCGCCAAAGATAGTTGAAAAAAAAGTTCATATAAAGGTAGGTCGAAATATGCTTCGTTTGCGAGATACAGTGTTTAAATTTTAATTTTTTATTTATTTTTATTAATTATTTCAGTTTTAAAGATATTGCCTCAAAATTTGAAAAATGTTTTGGAGGGACAAGCGTACATTTTTTGGGGTGATCCGAATATTTCTACTTGCACCAGTGGCGTCCGTCCGAGAATGCCACAACCTTTTTTAAAAAAAAAAATGATACGCCAGATTTTTTCCCGTTTTAAATTTTTTTTTAAATCCGCCATCAGTTCTGAGTGAAATTGGTCCCTTCAATTTTTTTCATAAGATGCACCATTTTTGAGAAAAAAAATAAAACATTTTATTGTAGGTTTTGTTACTATTTTATTTAAAGGTGCAAGTAGAAATATTCGGATCACTCCAAAAAATGCACATTTATCCCTCCAAAGCGTTTTTCAAATTTCGAGTCAATACTTATTTCACACTTATTTACAAACACTCTGTATAAACTTGAATCGGAATTTTTTCTATCTACCCAAATCTGAAAAATTGTCCACGATTTCCTGGACACCTTGAATGAAACAATTTATGGTACAATTTTCTATATATTGTAATTGTGAGAGTTGGACTTTTTAACATTTACAAACATAAAATCTAAAATAAGTGAAAGGCTTGGAAGCATTAACGAAGAAAAAGGTGTAGGATTACTGATATATATTAGACCTGACATTGCTCAAATCTGGAAAAGCCGACAAGCTCAGGTGTCACATTAACTTGATTTTAAACATTCAATTTATTTTTATGAAAGAGTTACTTATTTTAAGAATTATATTAATTAAATGTTTACAAATACAGTGTAGCCCATCGAAAACGTACCGCAAGGCATTACAGGGTAGTGAAGAATTTTTCGGCAAAATCCAAAAACAGGTCAAATTTGTTTCTGAGGGGGACAACTTTTGGCTCAAAAAGCATACCAAAATCTTCAACCCCCTAAGTGGGGGTGCTATCCCCTAAATTTTTTCAAATGGGAATGGGGGTCAAGTGGGGGGTCATTAGAAAGGGCTTTTAATTCTCTATACATCGATTCTTACTTTTTGAAAATCGATTCATTATTTTAGAAAATATGCAGCTTTGAAAATACGAACAATATTTTTGACGAGAAATGCGAAAATCGATTTAATTTTACTTCAAAACTTACGGTATTAGTCAAGTAAATGCTGAAAATGTTGTCCGCCAACTTGCATACAATGATACAGGTTGTCTTCAAACCGTTGTCGAACATTCTGGAGCACTTGCGGTGTTACTTCGCGACATACATTAATGATTCGTCCTCGCAGATCTTCCAAGGTATCAGGTGGAGTGCTGTAAACTTTGCTTTTAATGTGCCCCCAGAGAAAGAAATCTAAAGGATTTAAGTCGGGTGACCGAGGGGGCCACTCAATTGCACCTCTTCGTCCTATCCAGCGTCCTGGAAACGTCTCATTTAGGTAATTGCGCACATTGAGCGAGTAATGTGGAGGAGCTCCGTCTTGCTGGAAAATCAGTTCGTGTTCATTGTAAGCAGGGTCGTCCTCTATGATATTTGTTAGAGCTGGGTCGATGACATTTTGTAGTAAATCCAAGTACATATCGCCTGTCAAATTTCCAGGAAGGAAAAAAGGACCTACAATGGAATTTCCAAAAATACCTGCCCATACATTCAACTTCTGGGGGTGTTGGGAGTGTGTCTCATGGAAAATCCTTGGATTGGTATCAGCCCAGTAACGACAATTATGGCGATTCACTAAACCATTCAAGAAGAACGTACACTCGTCCGAAAAACACACATTAAAGAGGAAATTATCGTTTATCGCTCGTTCAGTCATTATTTCGCAAAATTGCAAACGACGATCAAAATCGTCTTCATTTAGCTCTTGCACTAGCCGAATCTTATAAGGATGGAATTTGTATTTTTTTAATATTCGTTGGACACTTGTACGACTCACTCCTGTCGCAGTAGCCAATTGCATTGTACTCAGCGTACTATCCATTGCCACTTGCCCCAATACCGCTATTTCCGTAGGTTCATTTAGTACCGGATTTTCAACCTGCCTCTTTTTGTTATGAACGGAGCCAGTTTCGCGAAATTTGGCCACCAATTCGCGAACAATTTTTCCAGACGCATGTTTCTCAGGATGCCGTTGGTTGAACAGTTCGGCGACCCGATTTCCGCATTCATTGTTTTTGAAAAAAAGCTCAATAATTTCTACTCTTTCTGGAATTGAGTACACCATAATTAATCAATTTAAAAGACTCGGCAGTATTGGTACTCTTCAACTACAAGTCACAAGACAGTTATCTAGCAACTTCTTGTGGCCTATCTAAATACGAAACAAAAAGCGGACAATTTTTTGCTCACCAAAATCAGGCTAAAGAATTCGCAAATCAAAAAAAAAAACAGCGAATTCTTTTGAAGGAATTTACCAAGCTAATACCGTAAGTTTTGAAGTAAAATTAAATCGATTTTCGCATTTCTCGTCAAAAATATTGTTCGTATTTTCAAAGCTGCATATTTTCTAAAATAATGGATCGATTTTCAAAAAGTAAGAATCGATGTATAGAGAATTAAAAGCCCTTTCTAATGACCCCCCACTTGACCCCCATTCCCATTTAAAAAAATTTGGGGGATGGCACCCCCACTTAGGGGGTTGAAGATTTTGCTATGCTTTTTGCGCCAAAAGTTGTCCCCCTCAGAAGCAAACTTTACCTGTTTTTGGATTTTGCCGAAAAGTTCATTACTACCCTGTAATGCCTTGCGGTACGTTTTCGATGGGCTACCCTGTATATGTTTCTTGTAGTTATGTTCTTTTTTAATGTGTAATCTTTAATATACAGTAAAAAAAATGTTATGCTATGTTTGTTGTTTGTTTTATGACGTTAACGATGTAGTGAGAGCGTTTTCCAAAAATGTTCTTTATAGTCAATAAAACTTTGTGACCAGGAAAAGGTTAAGACACACTGGTTTAAATGGTAATAACATGTAATAAGGTACCTACATTTTTAAAGCAAATAAAGTGGTGTATTTTTTCAAAATAAAAAAAAAGTTTCAACCTCTACGTTTTAGGTAAAAAATAAGTTTGTATTCATACCGAGCCGAAAAAATTGTATTAAAAGATTTTCTATAAGGATTACCTCCAATTTCTGGTGTTTTACCCCTAAAATTTCCTGCTCCCATATAACAAGCCAGGTTCGCCAACTCCATATTATCTTGTGCTTCTACCTGAGGCAGACTGGGCCACACAGTAATTTGATTATGACTCAAATCTAACTGTTTTAACGAACTGGGGTAACTGGTAATGTGAGACATAGACCTTAACGAATTGAAAGCCATGTTCAATTTTGCCAAATTAACTGCCAGGCAAGGCAGTACAACTGGGATACTTGTAAACAAATTATGAGCTAGATTCAGCGAGGATAATTGCGAGGACTGTTCAGTTATCGAATCATCATTGTGGAGAATTTGTTCCGTGACTTCGACATTTTTTCTCCATATATGGTGTTTGATTAGATCCATTTGGCTGAAAATTGAATAATAAAAAAATTTGTTGGAAAAATTTTTAAAGTAAAATGTAAAAACTACTTCTGCTAAAATATTATAAATGCTCATCATTTAATGAAACTTACAGGTAACATCTTTCCTTTTTTCTGTATCGCACACCATCTTCAAAATTAAATAACTTTGTTTCCTCACAAAAATCAGAACTTTCACCTTCTGATTCAGGCTCTGTGTGACTTGATAATTGGCTATCGCTTGAGCTTATACTCATTCTATCTAAATCTTCCTTTTTATTCTAAAAAATATGTAGGATTTTGTAACAAGTATGTTAAAAGTTAATCACAAATTCTTTGGTTGAAAATATTGGAGCTGTTCTTTTCCTTAGCCATTTCTTTTTTTTTTTTTATTTAGGCACCTAATTTTTGAAATACAAGATATCAAAATTCCTAGTTAAAAAAGTACATAATTTTGTAATTTTTTAAGACATTCAATTTAAATTTTGCATAAAATTTATTTTAGCTGGCACAAAGTGGGATTGCGGAATCAATTGATCCCTATTTGTGTGCACACCTATGGTTCAAATTCAATTAAATCATTTCTTTTATTTATTTTTCTTGTTGATGTAAGTCCTTGAATGGTACCAGATTGGACATTTTTCAGCATAAAGTTTGGCTTTACATTCAATTTTTACTTTTTAATTTGGTTTTTGAGTTTTAATAAGGGAACATAATTAATTTAAAATGCCAGTTTTAAATTGGGTTAATGCCTAAAATGAATTAAGTTAATTAAGGGGGAATATACGGTTAGACAAAAAATATTTTTTTTACTCATCTCAAAGCTTGTAGTCTTAAGAATATTGTGTGTAAATTTCATATTGAAATTCCAATAATTATGAAAGTTATGGGCAATGTGGTCGAGCGGCTGGCCGCCCGTTGTGCCGCCTGACCTAGACTTTTTTATTTAGGTCTAGAAGGTATCGAGGGATTGGACCGTTTGTGAATTCTAACGGTTCCTCTAGCTAGAGCGTCATTTTATCATCAGGGTGCAGTTGTGAGCAACATTTGTTATTTTGTGTATCATATGTGAATATTATATAGTGAAATGGATAGCAGAAAAGCTCTTCAGCATTGCGAGATAGACAATGTGGAACGAGTGTGTACCACAGAAATCAAAACTCACAATGTGACTCGTAAAGGAAAGATTCAGCGAAGGCCGTTACAAATTGCTGATGCTGCCAGTGCTGCGAAGGGCCTACTCTATGGACCAAGAATCAAAGTTTTCTCAATATAATATTACATATTATGTAATTTTTTACATAAATTGAATATTCCAAAAAAAATTTTTCAAGTTTGGAATATGAAGAAGTGTATAAATGTTATTCTGAGAACTGTAAAAGTTATGGGCATTTTACCGAGAAGCTGATGAGCGACCAAGTTCCAAGAACATCAATTCTTTGCCAAACTTTAAACGTGATTATCTCGAAACATACTATTCAATGACGGTTCCCAAAATATTTGGAAAGGGCTAGACCGATTGCTTTAAAAATTTTACACAATATTTTCAAACAGGTTTTCTACTTCAGAATGTAAGATTTTTTTTCACTTAATTATTCTTTTTATCAAGCCAAATAGGTCGGAAGCTAAGGGTGAAAAATGAATGTAAAGTTCAATGGATCGGTATTTCGTGAACAAACTTGATATAGGTACAGTGTGTCCCGTTTTTCAGGTTAACACCTCATAAAATGTGAGAAGGCTGTGGACTTTACGCAAGCCAAACTTTTTATAAATAGTAGCCTGAAGGGAGGTTATATTGTACTAATCATTTTATTGATGTAACAAAAGCCTAGCCTACTACGATTTTTTAAAGGGGCCGTTTTTCCAGAAAGAGGTATTAGGCATTTTTTTTATCAAAAAGATAATATTACCAGGCTATTTAACACTCATCAAAATACCCATATACCAAATTTTAACGACAAATGTCTATTGGGTGTTCTTTTATGTGGCGCCAAACTTCAAAAAATTGGACAACTAAAAATTATAATAAGCAGGTCAAAGATTGCCATGAAAGTGAAAACAAGTACCAATCGGACAAAGAAAAAATACAGACACTATAAATTTAATACTTTTAATTGTAGCCACAATAAAAATAATAATTAAAAAATGTAGGTAATGAATTATAAATATTAAGCTGTTAAACAAAAAATTGCAAAATAATCTAAATTAAATTTTAGTTTTCTCGAACTATGGACTTTTACTTTTGGGGTTTTATAAAACAAAAAGTTTATAAAAACAGATCAAGGAATTTGGATAACCTAATGAATTGCATAAGACAAGCATGTGCAGAGATTACTCCACAACAGCTATGTAAATTATTTTTAAATTTAAGAAGAGTATTGGAAAAATATGTTCGACTGGAAGGTTTGGTGGAGAAAACTAAAACTTAATTTAGATTAACGTTTTGCAATTTTTTTGTTTAACAACTTAGTATTTATAATTCATTAAATTTTTTGTAAGTTATTATTTTTATAATTAATTAATAATAATTAAAAGTTTTAAATTTATAGTGCCTGTGCCTGTATTTTTTTCTTTGTCCGAGTGGTACTTGTTTTCACTTTCATGGCAATCTTTGACCTGCTTATAATTTTTAGTTGCCTGATTTTTCGAAGTTTGGCACCACATAAAAAAACATTCCATAGACATTTGTCATTCAAATTTGGTATATGGGTATTTTAATGGATGTTGAATATCCTGGTAATATTATCTTAATAAAAAAAAAATGCCTAATACTACTTTCTGGACAAAGACCCTTTTAAAAAATTGTAGTAGGCCAAGCTTTTCACATCAATAAAATGATTAGTAGAATATAACCCCCCATCAATTTGTAAACAAATTGACTTGCGGAAAGTCCACAGCCTTCTCACATTTCCAGAGGTGTTAACCTGAAAAACAGGACACACTGTATATTTATAAATAAATTTGTCTGCATGTGGAAAATCTGGTAAATCTAAATTTTATAATAGAAAGAATGTAAGCAAGTAAAAAGCAATACATAGGAAAAGTTGAGGGTAAGTTAATGGCCATCTTTCCTCCATTCAGATTTTTTGTGCTAGCGAGAGTTAAAAGCCTTAGTAAAATTTTGATGAATTTTGATCTTAAAAAAAGAGTTATAATAACATTTTTCTAAATTAACTTGGACACTCGCATCCTGAAAGACAAGCATTCAAATTAAAAATGGCGTGTCTTTTTATTATTATTATTTTCACCAAAACAATTTGTGAGGCTAACAACTAGATCTACATTTTTGTATACAGAATGTTTCATTCTATTCAACTTACCTCACTGGGGTTGGCAGGTAACTCTTTCAGCAAATTAAATGATGCATTTAATTCTTTTAGTTTAGGGGCTAACCACATATTATAAGGCAGCTGTTGTAGTTTGTTATTTTCTACTACTAGTGTAACCAAAGACGGTAACTTAAAGATGGCATCTGGAATATGATCCAACCGATTATCTTGAATATATAACTCTTCTAGTGCGGGGCATGAGTAACCTAAGTCTTCTATATTTGTACTTTTCCTTCTGAAACCCCTTTTTGCAGGTGATGGAACTGGTACTGGCAACTTTTCGATTTTGTTCTGGGCTATATTCAAATATCTGAGACTGTGCAATTGGAAAACTGCTAGGGGTACAGAAGTTAGACTATTATTAGAGACGTCCAATCTCGTAATAGCGTACAAGGCAATATCATAACTTCTAGGGTTCTGTTTCAATTTTTGATTCAAGTGTAGTGCAGCATCTATAAGCCACTGAGTTTTTATTTGAGTTAAGTTGCACTTCTGATTGTGCCAGTTAATCATTGCTGGAGTGTTTGGAAATAAAGTAGAGTATGTAAGGTTTGTTACATTTGAGAAAATTGTAAACTGTGAGGAGTTTATATTTTCAGTCATCGCTTTTTTGTTTATTTTATATTCTGGATCTGCATGTGCCTACAAATAAATTAGAAAAGTATAAGAATATTTTACAGACACAATGAATGAGTAATAATTTTATTTCTTTACCTTAGTTGAAAGTAATTTAGCAATGAGTGTTTCATCTTTGTTTTGAACTGCAACAGACAGAGCTTTACAGTCATCATCTCTGGCGCCATGTTTTAATAGTAAGTCCACTATTGGAACATCCCTATTTCGACAAGCTTCTACAAGCCCTGTGGATTGGCCGTAGTTAGTATCTTCTTCCACAGAACAACAGCTCAAACTCTAAAAATCATATATTAATTTGTAATAATTAACAATATTATATTTGGCGCCTTGAAAACTATTTTTTCAGTAAAATAAGACTGTCAAAAGAAATTAAGTTATTACCTCATTAATATCATGATAAGCTTTTATTACAGTATTTGGACTTGCTCCAGCTTTCAAGAGAGACAGTGTAATATCGTAATGTCGTCCTTTAATTGCTGCATGAAGTGCGGTTTCTGTGTTGTTATTGCAGTACATGTCAATCCGTAATGGGCATATTGATTTGGCATTTGGATCGTTCTAAAATATACATTGGAAATAATAATTGAAAAGAAATGTTTCTTAATATCATAATGGAACCAGATTATAACATTGTCCTGCTTTTTATTAGGTCATTCAAATCAAGAATTCTTGGACAGATTTTAGTATACATTACAATTAGGGAGTGCAATCCCGATTTAGTCATAATCCCGGTATTAACGAGATTAATAGTTACACTCCCGCGGGATCCCGGTATTTGCGGGATCCCGCTTGTCTGATATGCAATATTGTCTTTTTTTATATTTAGATTGATGATGATTAGTTTTTAATTTTTAATTATGTTTTTATTAAAGAAATAATACATTATTCGATTTGTTGGAAATATTTACTTAAAAAACACAACGTACTTAAGGTATGGTCAGCTAAGTTACTTCTAATGTCACTGGCTAGATAACCCGCTGCCGAAAATGCCCTCTCCGCCTCAACACTAGTAGGTGTTACAGACTTTAAACAGTTATATGCCAAGTCAAGGTATTTTCCTCTAGATCCTCCTGATTCCAACAGGGCCATCTCCTTTCTGATAAGTGAATCTAATGAATTAATATCAGATGTCGGAGTATTTGTAATACATATATTTTCACTGACTAAAGTACGCTCCAATTCTTCTTGTAATGAAAGTGTTGTAGAAAGATTTTCATGTTCAATTTGCGTTGCTATTTGAGAAAGAGGTATATCATCCTCGAGACCCTGTTGGTCAGTAGGTGTAGATAAATTTGTGGGAAGAATTTCGTCATCATACCTTTGTTTGCAGTACAACCTTCAATAATTTTTTTTATTTCATTTCTAATACCAGACTTTGCTGGCATGCCAAAAGTATCATCATTCAACGAAATTAAATCCATGTAAGTGTTTTGTATGTATATCAAGGTGGGGGTTAAATTTGTTCGTCACTGTAAAATTCTCTGCCTCAAAGATTCAGCCATTTCTGCAGCCAAAGGTAAATTAAGTTCTTCCAGTTTTCTTAACATGAATTTTATTGTTGTCTCAGCTGTTAACAATGTCGAATCTTGCCGGCATAGAACTTCTACGACTAGCTTTATTGGTTGCAAAATTTGTTCTAAATTTTTCAGCGCTGAGAATTCTTGTTCTGTGAAGCAGTATTCAGTATCAGTTTCTAGATTAAGGTCAATGAGTGCCTTACAAATGCATAATTTAACTTTATTAAATGTTTCTATCATTGCATAAAAACTACTCCATCGAGTTTTACAATCTAAGATAAGTTGTACATCTTTTCCAAACTCATTTTTCATATAAATTTGCAACATGTCATTCTTTGTTGGAGATCTCTTGAAGAGACAGACAACTTTGCGGACTTTCTTAATTAAATCAACAAACTGAGGTAGTAATTCAACTTCTTCAGACGAAATCGTACTTACAACAAAAGAATCATCATTGTTAAATGTCCTTAACTCGTCTTCCTCTTCGATACAGTTATCTTCTGGATCTAAGTCTGCATTTCCATTTCCTTCATTAGTTTGCAAAGTGATTTGTTTTTTATAAATGACATCTATAATTCCGAGTTGCAGACCATGGGCATAACAAAGTTGATGAGACGGTTCGATAAGCTTGCCAACTTTTATCATCACACTAGCACCATCTGTAGTAATAGCAACAATGTCGGTATTTAGATTCAAATCATACTCGCTTAGTTTTTCTTTCAGAATATTTACACAAATCTCCGATGGCATACTACCAAAAATACGGGCCAATCCTAAATTCCAGAACATTGAAGTACCTTTCGCAAATGTATGAATATTGATATTTAAATAGCGTCGGTTACGTGATGAGGTCCATTCGTCGAAAGTCAAAGTAAACTTGTAATTTTCATCTTTCAGTTCTGACAACTCACGAGATATCTTCATTTTCATGGTCATCCCATAATTCATAACCATAAGTCTAATAGAATTGGCAGAAGTCGGAAGTTTATGTCCAGCGGATTGAAAAAGATCTCTTAAATCTGACGATGTACAAAATACCCTAAATGGCAGTCCATCCCTGGAAACCATACGAGCTACTTTTTTTTCTAAACTATTTTAGGTGTCCTTTCTTTGGAAATGATGTGTAATTTTAGTTTTTTTCGACAAGGGGACTTCTGTACATGATGTTGGTAGTGTAGGATTTTTATTCTGTGGAGCGATATTTGTTATCAAATTCATATGGGAATGCTTAGTTCTCAAGTGAACATGCAAACCTTTTGTTGATCGCCCTGTAGTTTTTAATATAGATTTACATATAGTGCACTTCGCCAACTGTGAATCTTCTGATTTAAGGAAATATTCCCAGACAGAACTTGAACTTTTAAATTCTTTGTACACTACACATGCCATGGTAATATAGGTAACAAAGTGTTTTTACATACATAAAGTAGAAAAACACCTGTGTTAAAAAATTATTTAAAACACAACGCAATCAAATTTAACTACTCCAACTAACAACAATGGTAAATAAAGTAAAAAATCTGCACACGTGCACTGTAAGAGTATGGATAGAGCGGGGGATCGGTTCGTCTGCAGTTGCACAGTAGCAGCAGCGAGCAGCGAGTAGTAGGGGTAATACCGCGGATCCAGCTCATACAATCCCGATTTATCGGTACTAAAATCTTGTGCGGGATCCTGGTATAACGAGATTCCGGTATACCGGGATTGCACTCCCTAATTACAATGGAGAATACACTAGTCATTGAAGGTATATGAAATAAGTAAAAATAATAATATACATTCTATCAGAAAAGTATCCGGAATTTGTCATTTAAAAATTGCGCATACAGTAAATTTAAATATCTTTTTTGATGGAATGTTGGTAGCACTGTACTCTACGCAGATGCAAAGTTTGAGCACAATCTGTTAAGTAATTTGTTTACAGCTCTTAATTTTATTAGTCTACCTAAAGTGTGTTCCGCGATTTTTGCTACGGGCAATGTTATTGAGCAAAGAGTTTGCCTAAAATTTTGTACTACCAACTGAATTTCTTTTGTTAAATCGTTGAAAATGTTGGGAGAAACATAAGGTAATTCAGTTTTATTGAAAACTCAAGGATACGAATGATCAAAAGTATTCAAACATGGTCGAGAAGTAGTTGATGATTTACCACGTTCTGGTTGTCCTTTAATGCATTCAACGATAAAGTGAAGGAAATGAAGGTGCTTGCAAACCTTCATTATAGTTTGAACTAAATATATCTCATGAATCAGTTCACATCGTTTTAGTTGATGTTTCCAAAAGAGCTAAATTTTCTTTAAAGAGAGCATCGATCGCAAACACGTTACTGAAGATATGTTTAAACGAGCTAATTCGGACTCTACAATCAGGTGACAAGACATGGGTTTACAAGTTTGACATGCAAACAAACTAGCAAGCTTCAGAATGGCTTTAAAAGTCGATCAAAAATTAAAGCAATGTTGACTGTTTTCTTTGACTATAGTGGTTTTGTCCACACAGAATTCCTTCCGGATGGAGAAAGAGTCAACAAAGAATATTATCTGAGCATTATGAAGTCCTTAAGAGAAACTGCCTGCTGCAAAAGACCAGGTTTATGGAAGGACAATTTTTGGATTTTGCACCATGATAATGTACCATCACACATAACGATTATTCTGAATTAATTTTTGATGAAAAAAGCTCAACGAATGTCATCGAGCAGCCACTGTATTTGCCGGATATGGTTTTTGCTAACTTTTTCCTCTTTTCGAAACTCAAATTACCACTTCGTGGAACACATTTCGAGTCGACAGAAGCCATAAAACAAAAATCGCTGGACTTAAAGTCAATATTGGAATATGCATTTAAAAAAGTCTACACTGGAATATGCATTTAAAAAGTGCTTTCACGACTGGGTTGTTCATTGGAAAAGTGTATTGCTTCAAATGGAGCCTATTTTGGAAACAAAATAAATTTTGATGATTAACTGAATATATTGTGTTTTATTGACAAATTCCAGATACTTTCTTGACAGAATGTATAATTTGAATAAGCTGTATTCCAAGCATAATTTTATTGTCATAAAATTACTTACTTCGGCGTCTAAAGAATTTTCTCTAGAAAGATTTAATTTTGACATAATAGACTGTATGCCATCTGATATTCTTTTCCTTGTAGGACTTACAACTGAATTAATTTCAGAGCTTGGAGTCACATCTTCCTAAAAGTATTACATAATAATAAAATGTAATAATCAGATTGATTTTTTACTACATTTATATCAATATTACTTACATCAGAATGCATTATTCTTGTAGCTTTTACACGAAATTTCAAAATTACATCCAACAGTTTTTTATTACCTAACAAAGCAGCGACATATAGTAAGTTTTGTCCTGTCGCATCTCTTTCGTTTATATCAAACGGCATAAAATACTCCCATTGTTCTGTACTATCTCTAAAATAAAATGGAAAGAATAAAAACATACAAAGAAATTCTTCTCGCTTTACCTATACTTTCGAAGAACTTTAGTGGGATAAGGAAAGTTGAATAAAAGTTCTAAACAGGATACATGTCCGTTTATGCAACAAGCATGAATTGGTAGCCAACGTTCGACGGTGTGTTGCTAAAACCGATCGATGAATGTGTTACAGTTTAAAATTATTAATAACTTACCTGCACAAGTTCTGGAAATTTAAGTAATAATAATTCCACAATGTTATGATGCCCATGATAGCAGGCGATGTATAATGGTGAGTATTTTGTTACTGAATGGTACCTGCCATCTGCACCATATTGTAGCAATATTTTTACTATTTCTTTGTTTCCTATTTGACAGGCACTAAAAGAAAATATAGAAAACTATAGACGGCAGTCTGGTTTGATACGATAACAATAAACAAGTACATGAGTTCACATTATGAGTTAATACTCATTTTTTATTTATTTCAGAATCTGAAATATTTATTTCATAAATACATATATTTTATTTTTAGCTCTCACATTTTTTTACTCTTTATTAAGGTATTAAGGTAATTCAAATCCTATCAAATGAAGTTAAACATTTTTCGATATCAGAAATCTAGGTAGGCAAAAGGCTTGAAACCTTACAGACAAGATTACTAACTACTGGTATTGCGGGAAACATCTAGCTATGGGCTACATGTCCCAACTATTATTGAATTACATCACACTAGTACTGACTACACTGAAATATTTAGTTTCTAAATCAATATTTTCCTTGAAAATAATTGTAACAATACCAAAACTATTTATTAGTGAAAATAAGTTTTGTAAAATAGTAATGGTCGATGAAAATCAATGTAGTTGTATTTTGATAATGTAGGTATCATGAGACAATACCATTTATTAATGGACATATAGGTACATGTAAAATATTTTTTTAATAAAAAATTAAATTTAAAAAAAAATATATTAATTTGTATCTATCAGTTGATTAAAAATCACATTTGTGGGTACTCATGTTCGCAAGTGACCCATTTTAAGTATTACGTCAAGAACGCCACCCGGACTGGTCTGACAGTTGCAAGGACAAAAAAAAACAGACGCGGGACATAACAGGGTTCCAGAAATGGTCCATGGCAGGTTGGCGCTAAGGACCATATACCTACGAACAACTCCACACCAAGAGGACTCTCCAGCGAACGCTCGCTCCGACAACACGTCTTTTTCACTAACGTTGTTTTCAATAAAAATACTTTCTTTTTACCGCTGAGAGAGAGTTTTATTTTGCTGCAAGCTGAAAGCAACCCTCAAATTAATAATTTTTTAATTCATTAATTTTGTGTAACTTTTTTCGACATGAAAGTTCTCTATGTGGATAGAAATTGTCTTCTAAAAAATGGAATCATTCATCATTATCAAAACACCATTCATTTTCACAAGTCTTCATAGTAATAAAACTTGATTGAAAAATTTCATAAAGTATATTAAATTTTATTTTTACTTTTTAATTCATGTTAATACACTAATAAATATAAATACAGGGTGTCCCATTCATGTTTAAAAAATATTTGTGTGCAAGTTTTGCATGGAAAAGTGCATGGTAGTTCATGTAAAGTTTTTTTCTTAGACGCCCTGTTTTTGAGATACAGTATATTGAAGTGTTACTTTCCAAATAGTTTTCCTTAATTATTTTTAAATCAACTAAAAATAAAAAAGTCAAAATTTGTACATGAGTAAACATCAACTGCACGTTAAGAATAATGTGCAAACGGTTTCTTTCTGAAAAGTAGTGTCCCGATACAGGTAATTGGAGGGGTACAATAAAAAAAAATAAAAAATTATTACATTTCTAAACGGTTCTGTGAACTCTAAAGCATACTATAAAAACGGGTGTACTTGTCGAAATTCGGTAGCATGTACCATTTTCGAGAAAAATGAAGTTCCATAGAAGGAAATGGAGACAATTTCAGTATCTACTGTAGTATTTTGAGTTTGCACATTTATTTAATTGTGCAGCTGTTTTGTAATGTATGTCTTCGAGTCTGTTTCCTAATATTTTCTGTTTTTATCACTTTTTTAAGCATTCATGTCCGTCAACAATTCAGTCCATTCAACAATTGTTTATTTTAGTAACGGTAGTGTAGTAATTTACAAACTCTAAAATTAGTTAATAATATATAATTAATTACCATAATCTGTTTATTTTTATTTACTTATCAAACTGAAACTTAAAATAAATTTAAAATTTTTTTTTAGTTAATAAAATGTTTTACAATTTAACTGTTTTATGTGGTACGTAAGAAATTAAAATTATATGCTACCGAATTTCGACAAGTATACCTTTTTTTATAGTGTCCTTTAAAGTTTTCAGAACCGTTTAGAAATGAAATAAATTTTGACTTTTAACATATTTTTTCTTCGATTGTACCCCCCTCAATTACCTGTATCGGCGACACTGCTTTTAGAAAGAAACCGTTTGCACATTATTCTTAACGCACAGTTGATGTTTACTCATGTACAAATTTTAACATTTTTATTTTTAGCCGATTTAAAGATAATTAAGGAAAACCATTTGGAAAGTAACAACTTTAATACACTGTATCTCGAAAACAGGGTGTCTAAGAAAAAAACTTTACATGAACTACCCCTATTATTTAAATAATTTAAATAATCAATTAATCGGAGCATGATGTAATTATTAAACAGATAACTACATTTCTTTATATTCATGGATTCTATATCCTGATTGATACCATACAGTTTCATATTTATTCTTAACAGGATTATTCTTTCCATAATTGCATTACAATGCTACTTATCCAATTAGAAAAGGGCCAAAGTAATTGTTTATAAGGTTTATTTTATAAAAAACTAACATCCAGCCTAATATTTTTTATTTAAATGTATCCATTTCAGAATGCAAGTTGCAACAAATTAACAAAGTTGAAAAGGTACAGAAAAATAACCATTTAAGATTATTAACAGAAGTGATGTGAGAAACATGTCTTTGTATCCCATTTGCACAAACATTTGATGCATTCTTACCAAAGTTAGTCTAAACTCAGGAATTTTATATGTGCACTATGTGATAATAGTAACAATTTTAAAAAAATGTCTAGAACTGGAAAATTCACAAATTCACTGTTATTCTATTGGAATATATTCATGCAGAAAAAAATTTCTGGATCTACGTTATCTATGTACCACATAATTATTATTGAAAAGTTCATTTAATTTTTTTAAAACATATTTTTGTATATCTTCTCTAATATTATTCTTTCATTTTAACTGGTTTTCGAAAGATATTGAAATTAAATTAAACTGGATATAAAGCTATTCAAAGAATGACCCTTCAAAATTTTCTAGTATTTACTCCACTCATGCCGAATAAGAATTTTTATTATGTTTCCACTATTTTGCGATCTTGATTAGTTATCCAAGTCAAGGTTTTAGTGGGATAAAGATCAATAAATAAAAGAACACTATATTTTATTATTATTAAGAAGATGATATCTAGATACTTATATGTGTATTTATAATTCATGGAACAATTACAATGCGGTTTTCTTTCACAGTAAAAATTGTTGTAACGTCTTAGGTACTATCCAGCAGAATGCCAGTAGAAAAATACGTTAATACGTCTAATATTTAGAACTGTTAACTTGGACAAAAGACACTTCAAATTTCGGTGAGTGAATAATACCTATGTTATTTTTAGAGCTGTTTTAAAATTTGTCTATTTCGTGTTTTATGGTAATTGTGACAGGAACAATTTTTTACAATTTTTTAGAATTATTGTAAATGTATTTGTATATATATATATATTTTAATACCTTAACGAATTTTATTAAAAACATTGTTTGTATTTTAGAGCCCTGAGGATGGTGTAAAATAACACCGAAACGTTGGCAATGATTTAAAATATAGTGTTCTTTTATTTATTGATCTTTATCCCACTAAAACCTTGACTTGAAGAATTTTTATTTTTATTAAAAATATCACCAGTAAATTAACAAAGAAAAAAAAAAGGATTTCTGTCATTAAAGCTATGTACAGTGAAAATTGGTTATAACGACATTGCTTTATATGACATATTGGATATAACGACGGAATTTGGAAGTCCCGATTAAATCCTATAAAAATACCATATTAAAAATATCGTTTACTACGACACCGTTTACAACATCTCGGATTTAGTGACGCGTTTTTATATACATTTACCATAGAATCTATCAGTTAGAATGACCAATAGTGATATACGCCTCGCCAGCATCCACGCTTTTGACACCAGTTAGTACGTTTCGGACAAATTACGACTTATCTATGCATACAGTTGTTATATTATATGTATTAATTACCACTTTCTATCACGATATCGAAGAGAACAGTGTTTAGTAAAGAAGAAAAATCACACATAATATAGAGATTAAAAAACGGAGAAAATAATGCAAGCAATTAAAAGAATGTGGCGTGTCACACTATGATTTCAGCAATTTGGAAGGATAGAAATAAAATAAAAGGCTTTTTTTCGCGAGTGGAGTCTTATGTTGTAGTATGAGAGAGTGAAAAGATGTAAACTACCATATAATAACTAAAATTAAAAGAGATAGAAATAGTAACTGCAAGTCAGATATTCGAAAATAATTCATTGAAAATGAAGCACGCGACATCTTCTGAACACAAAGCAATACACACACATACTTAAAGACTTGTATAGTACATTTCTCAATTTTTCTATAAAAATTTTAAATAAAATATATGTAATTGCTTATTACGTCCATCCATAGTGGATTTCTGTGCAAACGATTAAAGTAAAAAAGAAATGTCTCTACTCCTTCTACTATTTGTTTAGTGGCTAATTTTTTAAAAATATTGTAACATCAATTTTGTTATGGGTAATTTAATAACACCACATTCTTCACAACTGCTTGGAATGACTACCTGCAATATTTTTTTCAATTATTTAAAATTTATTTTATAAGAGCAAATGTAAATGTTTTATACAAAAGTACAAATTTACCTTTTCAGAAAAAAAGAGATAAATTAAAGGAATATTAAAATTATTTGAAAATGAAAATATACTGCAAAATATTTCAATTTTATTCACATTTAAAAATACTAGATTTTGGATTAAAAAAATTGCGAATATAATTTTTCAAAAATAAATAATAAAAAATTGTAGTAGGAGTGGAATTTGCAATTTTGAAGTTATGATTTCTATGTTATATTATTTCATTATTTTAAGGTATACATAACAAAAAAATATTCAAGCTTCATTCGATTTTTATTTATTATGTTAAAGGTTTGTTTGTACACTTTACACCTATGTACAATGTTGTCTATTAAGAACCAGGATACATGTTTAATATTTTTGGAACGCCTGATTCGAATGATTTTTTATTATGAAAGACTTGTTGAACCAATTACTATAATCCTATTGATATGACGAATTTTTAACAAAGCTGCAAGAAATTAGTTTCTGAATTCTAAACTTAAATTTATCATATTGTATGATATATCTTGATAGTCTTATTTAAGGGGAGCATTTTTATTCATAATTTTCAGTAAATTTATAGCAGTCTTTTCAGGAGGGTTTTAGAAAATCTAAGAAAATTAGAAATGATCTCTTCCCTGTACCTTTTACACAAGTTTTCTCCAGGTATAAAACAGTTTACAAGCTGACAAGACATTCAGAAAAAAACGAATATTTTTGCTTATGCTTATCACTACATTTCCTGAATTGCACACTTCTGTTAAATATACAGAAAATCGCGTATGGTTCTATAAACATAATCACACCCTGCAGAATGCTTTTATGAAACTATTAACACATTAATTAATTATAACTATTGAGTACTTTTTACAAAATTCCTTACAAAACAGTAAAGGTGCATTCCAATGTTCATCATTTTCATAGTTTAGATGGATTTCCTTATTCTATTATTGTCTTACTAAAAGTGCGATTTCTTGTCTATAAAACGCCAATCTTAATAATGAAATATTACTTAATTCAAACCTGTTCAAATTAAACGTAGACTGATTCTAGACTGCCAGATCAATGTATGCATTCTATCTGGTCGATTTCATAACAATTGCAATTTATCACATAAAAAGGTGTTTATAATTGACTAATTAACAAAATTTTGTGTCCATTATTTTGGTTACATTATATGTTATAAATAGTAAACTATGCATTTGTTAGTTATAAAAGGTGTCTATGAAGCAAGTAATAATAATAAAAAGAAATGCTAATTTGTGTAAGGTGTAATAGCCTATTCTGTATAATACAGTTCATAGCTGCTAACCAAAATTTATGTGACCACCAGATCGATCAATAGTATTTAGTATCTAATATTCTCCACACACACACAATTTTGTTTCAATTTCTTAGGGTCCTGAACTATGTTTATGTTATAAAACTAAATTACAAAAAGTAATAATTTATATATAAAACTTACATAAATAATAAAGTGTTAGCTCCACTTGGGGCCATGTTAATAATAAGCTCAGCATCTTTTTGTAGAGACTGTAAAAGCTGTTGTACCGAATTAACATCACCTTGAGTACAACCGTCCCTAATTGCTGCATGAATATCCAATCGTGCTTTTTCTTTAGCATCTAAAAAAATGGCTCCATAAATATTACGAAAAAATGTAGATCGTTTTCTTTTAATTTTCTACACAATACCGTTATTTACTTGGTATACATTAAATTCTAACAAATAATAATATACTTGTAGTTGCAAAAGCAACGGGACATGTTTTTTAATAATAAGAAAGTAATTTGATTTATATAACATTATTTTAATAAATTACTACAGTAACTAAAAATAATATACATATTTAAAGCTTTCTAAAGTGAACGGAAATATGTTTTACTCGCCTATTTGTGCATTAAATGAACTAAAATCATCAGTAAAATAGACACAAGCATCAAAAGCTATTTCAGCAGCTTTTCGTTTCTTAATATTTTTTTCCATCACTTTATTACCACTAGGTTCACCTCTTATTTACTTAGATTATTAAAACATAAATAAATTCTTGAGAACTGTACCTAACAAAATTACTCAACAAAATAAAGTAACACACACTTTAATTTATTTATAAATGCAAATGTACTTATATATGTGTGTTAGTTATACATTACTTAAACTAAACTAAGGTGAATTAAGTGATAAAAACCTGTCACTGAGGTTTAATACGAGAAACCAGCTGTTTATAGGAAAGGGCAGTAAAATCAATAATACTGCATTAAGGTGGGGAGAAAAGTAATACTAGTAGCAATAAAGGTTTTTACAAAATCATTCATTATTTTGTGGTTAAAAGAACCTGTTGTAATTAAAACCATTTTATCTAATAATAAACATGTACTTACAACATTTGTTGATTGCTAGTTTCCTGGTATAAACCAACCATTGAAATTAAACTTCCTTTTTAACAATAACAAAATTAGATATGTTAAAACTATTATTAAAACAGTTGTAAAACAGCATCTTCCAACCACTGTGTATGCACTCATTTCAACTATTTAATATATAACATCCCATACTGATAAAATCATTTTAAGGCACTGTTGAGTCTGTATGTCTCTACCTACCTACTGATGAGCCATGAGGCATTTTATTTTGGTGGGAGTAGGGAGTAAAATAGTAGAGCCCATTGTCATTGTACACTTAACATTTCATTTATCAGTCAAAGGTTATCAAATGAAATTTTATATAAAGTTCATTAAGATTAATATATAAAATGTGATAATAGGAAACAGATTTTGTTTTAGATATATGTACTTGAAATACTGTAAAAAACTGACTTGTTGAATAGTTAAATTACTTAATTTAAGTAAAAAATAAAACAGATAAAACATTCAATGTTAATAAATTAAAAAACAAAATGATTAAATTTTACTATTATATCATATAGTGATAAATACTGAAATTTATCATGTATTGATCTTATAAATAGATAGGAAGTAAAATTACAGCAGTAATTAAGTGATAATAACATTCTTGTTTGTAGTATTAGATATGCTAAAGGAAGATTCCTGTAAATAATTGGGAACGTTTAATAGATTGCACAGAAAAACATCTCCCAATATACATTTTGTTGATCAATAATGAACAATTTTTTATAACTCATTAGACTCGATAAGCTAGAACTAATACTTTCGAACTGATTTTTAATAAATGCTTTTCTTATCTTTTTTATTTGAATTATAGATTTCAGTTAGTACATTTAAGAAGGCAATTAAAGGTTCAATTAAAAGAACATTTCAATATTTAAACAATTTAAAGGATATATAAAATTAATTGCTAAGACTGACTAATGTCACAATAACAGTTTGTACTTAGTAATGAATTAAAAAATTACTAATAAAATGTAGGGTTTACCTCAGATGTCCAAATATTAATAAAGATATAGTGTTATGCAGTTTATTAATGAAGGCTTATAAAATTTAAATTAGGTCAGTCCAGCAACAAATAAACAAAGTTGCAGTACATTTATTTAATACAATATATTAAAATGTGCATTAAGCATAAAATTCAGCATAAAGTATACACTATAGAATTTATAAAAGAATTTAATAACATGGGATGTCATTCACATAAAATTTGTGTCCTATAAAGAGAGTATCAAATATGTACTTACCTGCAGCTTCTTTTAGAATTAACATACATTTTGAATGTCCACATTTTTCTGCTAAATCTGATGCAGTAAGTCCATCTACATCTCGCAATAATAAATTAACATTATGTTGCAGCAGTACTGTGATGTTAACACTGTGGCCATGTTCAGCACTTAAATGTAATGGAGTCTAAAACAAAATTTATTTATGGCATTTCTACAAGTGTACGGAACTTAAAAGAATAAAATGTATACGAATAAACTGTATTGATACAGTTTACCTGCTTGTATTAACTAATTGAATATAAAGATAATTTAACAGTTCAAATATATTTTGTCTTTAAATTACTATCTATTACTGATAAAAATATGTTTACTTTGCATCCTCCTCTAGATCCACACTGAATATTTGGATCTGCCCCTGCATTTACCAAAATTTGTAAACATTTTGAGTTATCTGTGATAGCCGCAGCATGCAAAGGTGTTCTTCCCCAACTGTCCTGTGAGTTTATAAATGCCTGTTGACCCCCTTCCAAGAGATCCTCCAACAATTCAGCATTGTCCCATAAAGCAGCCTAAACAATAATAATTATTAATGTTGGACAGAAAAAAATATGTTTTTAAGGTACTACCTGATGTAAAAGACGTCCTGGGAAATCTTCATCTTCAGGGGAAGAATCTAACATTTCTAAATATAAAAACAATACATATATTTAATTCAGAATGTTTAAATTTCACACAACCACAGGATAAAAATTATGTGATTTTTTTAATCACATTGTTTGGCATACATTGTTTTTGTCTTTATTATAATTAAAAATAATATAAAACAGTTGTACTACACCCATTTTGACAAATTAGACAGCTGACAGCTGACAAAACAATGACGACAGAACGTTAGAAGATAGATAGTGATGGGATCATTCGAATGAAAAATAATCGATCATCCGATTATTGAAATAATCGAAACCTTCCGATTATTAAAAAAGAATTCGGATGATAATCGGTCACTACTCGAATCTCATAATCAGTACGTAATCGCCATTACGCGCGCCATTATTCTATGGCTAGAAATTGGCCTCAATGATTTGGGATCGAGGGGGATTATCCCTCTTTATCCTGCCTCATCTCGTGTAGGCCTGGACAGCCTTCGTAGGTGGGCCCCATCCGTCGTCTACCCCGACCGCAAATGCGGCCGGTGTAGGCGCTTTGTGGGACCTTCTTATTCCCAAAAATCCACTTCTCATGATGACTACTCCTCCGGGGGCTAGACAAGCCGGTCAAGAAAAAAAAATTAAGACACGAAGAGTGCCAGAAGAGCCCCCCTGCCGGCGGGGGTCCGCCAGGACAAGAGGAGGTCCCACAAAGCGCCTACACCGGCCGGCGGCCACGCTTGTGGTCGGGGTCGAGGACGGATGGGGTCCACCTTCACGAGGCTGTCCAGGCCTACAGCACAGCAATGACGCAGGACGAAGAGGGATAGTTCCCCCTCGGTTCCAAATCATTTGGCCTCGGAACAAATCCGCGGTGACCCTGACGTACCCTATCCCGCACCGGCCCGCGAGTTACCAACTCAAAGGCCGCGTGCATTGCCTAGAATCTATTTCCTAAAACCCACTTCCTCACGACGACTACCCCCCGATAGGCTAGACAAGCCGGCGAAGAAAAATCAGGAGAGCGCCAGAAGAGGCTCCCCTGCCGGCGGGGTCCAGTGCGGGCAACAGGAGGTCCCGCAACCGCAAAGCGCCTACACCGGTCATGCTTATTGTGATCGGGATAAACGATGGACGGAGCCCACCTTCACGAGGCTGCCCAGGCCTACAGAGATAAGGCAGGACAAAGAGGGTAGTCCCCCCTCTGTCCCAAATTATCGAAGCCACGCTTAACGCCAAAAATAGCGGCGTGAGAGTGCTTTCACACTATTGCGCTGAAACGCGGCGTTTGATGTAAACATAAAATCTGAAAACTTATCACCTTGCGCACTTTTCACGCGTAATCGAAATAACTAGCAGTTTTCAGGATATGTTGTATTGTAATTGAAAACGCATCAATAATAAAATGTCCTCAAAACTTCCACTAGTTTTATGTGCTCTGAAAAGAAAATTGAGAAAGCTTAAAGATCAGGAAAGCATTATATCAATTAAGAGAATTAGAAAAATAGTTACTTTTATAGTCGTAATAAATGATTGCGTGGTAGAAGGCGCATTTGGACAAGGCCAAATTTTTAAATAAATATAATAGATATTTGCAAGGTGTCAGTGATAACTTGATAGAAAGTTTAAGGGAAAACGACAGTGCTAAATATTTTAATTATTTCTGAATGTCTCCAATACTATTTAATGAGTTAACAAACCCGTTACACAAAATTAAAATGATGTATGACTGATGACATAAGACATAAATATCGCTTATTTTTTTACGTTTATGCAAAAAAGTTAAATCAACTTTCAGCGTAGTGACGTAGTGACCTTGACGTCGATTTAAGAAAATTGACCATAAAAAAATTAATGGTATATATTCAATTTTCTATGAAATTGAGCAATCACCATTGAGAACGCGTAATAGTGTGAAAGCGCTCTGAGGGTCAAAGTACGAACTGATCTGAGAGTTCCGACTTTAGATTCAGTTTCGATGGTTCGATGGAAGTACTGTGGAATAAATTGATCTGATCCACAGTCCAGCCCACTTTTTTTGTGGTAATTATTAGGTTTACCGCAGCTAACCTACGCCTCTACGGCGTGGGGTCACGCGGCAAAAAGCCACTTAAAGTCATTACAGGCTGTGGAAAACATAGCCCTTCACAGAGCTGGGTAATTACTTGTAATTTAAAAATAGTTACAATTACAAATTACTTTTAAAAAAAGGAACTAATTACAATTACAAAGTATATTCTTTAAAAAAGGAATTATATTAATTTAATTACAGTTACATGAAAAATGGATTTAGCAATTACTTTTCTAATTACTTTTATGATAAAGTAAATTATAGTGACCAAACAGAGAAAAAGGAAAAAGTTAAGTTAAAAATTTAAATTAAAAGTGTTGTGTAATATTGCGTTTTATTATTTATTAGAATTGATACTAAAATGAAAAGATTATTCTTATTCATTTTCTAATATAGAATTTTTATATTTTTATTCCTAATCTAATAATTTAAACTAGTTCAGTTCATACTATAATTTTATATTATTGGTCAGGTAATTAATTCAACCCGATGCTCTTTTTTTTTGTTGTTAGTACATTTTTAGAAAATGCTAC